AGCGATACGTAATGGGTCAAAGCAGATAATATCTGCTAGCGGTGGCCTCGGGTTGTTACAAATGGGGGAATAAAACATTCTTGGTAAGAGTGTGGAAACCTCTCCCTAGTAGACGCGTTTTAAAACTGTGAAGCTAACAACGATACATAATGGGTCAAAGTGGACAATATCTGCTAGCGGTGGCATCGGGTCGTTACAAATGGGGGAACGAAACATTCTTTATAAGAGTGTGGAAACCTCTCCCTAGTAGACGTGTTTTAAAATCGTGAGGCTGACGGCGATACGTAATGGGCAAAAACGGACAATATCTGTTAGTGGTGACCTTGTGTTGTTACAATTGAGGGAACGAAACATTCCTTATCTGGGTGTGTAAACCTCTCCCTAGTAGACACGTTTTAAAACCATGAGGCTGACGATGATGCGTAATGGGCCAAAGCGGACAATATTTGCTAGCGGTGGCCTCGGGTTGTTACAAATGGAGGAACGAAACATTCCTTATAAGAGTGTGAAAACCTCTCCCTAGTAGACATGTTTTAAAACCGTGAGGCTGACGACATTACGTAATGGGTCAAAGCAAACAATATTTGCTAGCGGTAGCCTTGGGTTGTTACAAATGGGAGAACGAAACATTCCATATACGGAAGCCGCTCCCTAGTAGACGCATTTTAAAACCGTGAGGCTGACAACGATACGTAACGGGCCAAAATAGACAATATCTACTAGCGGTGGCCTCGGGTTGTTACGAATAGGGGAACGAAACATTCCTTATAAGGGTGTGAAAACCTCTCCCAAGTAGACATGTATCAAAACCGTGAGGTTGACAGCAATACGTAATGGGCCAAAGTGGACAAGATCTACTAGCGGTGGCCTCGGGTCGTTACATGGACCATCTACCACTTTTTTTCTTTTCTTCTTAATGAGCTATTTCTTGTACTATCCTGATGTTGTTATCTCTTTTCTTGAAAGGAAAATGTAACATCTGAATTTATCTGTTTAATAGTTATGTAAACAACCACATGAAAGATTAGCTAAAACGTCAGTACAGTGATTTGTTGCTTTGAGTGAACTTGGTCATTATCAATACAGTAGAGGACATGGCTAGTTTTGTCCATGTTCTTACAGCTTTTCTTCAGATTAGCCGCAATATTCATGTAAAATTCCATACTAATCAAATATACTTAGCACTTTGTGTTGTCATAACGTCTTATTGCTACTGTAAATATACTCAACTAGGGAGTGCTTGCTGATATTCTAGAACCCATAATGGGTAAAGGACTAATACCAGCTGACTTAGACACTTGGAAGCAGAGGAGACGAGGTTAGCAAGCAAAATTTGATCAATATATTGACTTCTGCTTTATAACCTTTTAGAGACGTTGAATGATTTCATTTTGAGTTACAGTTATAGCTCCTGGATTCCATGCGTTATACTTGGAAGCTATGGCCAAAGTGTTCGCTGATTGTTCAGAACGATCGATACGGAAATTAGAGAAGCTTTTAGGAGAAGGTGAAGTTCATGAGGATAAAACCATTGAGTTGGATATGGAAGCAGAGTTTTCAAATTTGGCTCTTGATATCATTGGACTTGGTGTTTTCAACTATGATTTTGGTTCTGTAACCAAGGAATCCCCAGTGATTAAGGTTTGAAGAAATCGAACTATCCACATTATAATCCTACACGTATATGGTGGTTTGTTTGTTCGTTATCAAGCTAGGATTTGGAACCTCTTTGTAACATGATCCAGGTTGTCTGGTGTCCCGTTATTTTTAGAGATCGTATGGTTTTTGTCGTCTTAATTTTATGTCTAGTGCATACCTAAACCATGAACATCAAGCATTCTTAATCAGCACTTTTACAAATGTTTTGCAGGCTGTATATGGAACCCTTTTTGAAGCAGAGCATAGATCAACTTTCTATATCCCATATTGGAAAGTACCTTTGGCAAGGTGGATAGTCCCGAGGCAACGTAAATTCCATAGTGACCTTAAGGTTATTAACGACTGTCTCGATGGCCTAATACGAAACGCAAGAGAAACCCGAGAGGTGAGCTGAGGCTTGACACTTAAGTTGGCAAATTTTTCTGGTGAAGTAAACTTTTCTAGGAAAGTAGGAAATCTTGCCATGTTGCTATCGTTTGCAATTTATATTCATATTGATGATCTTTTAGCATGGAATATTCTTTATAAGTTAAGTTTCATTCTTTATTCTTTTATGTCAAGGGGAAGTCTGAAAGGGAAAGCTCAAAGAGGACAATATCTGCTAACGGTGGGTTTTGGCTGTTACAAATGGTATCAGAGCCATATACCGGGCAGTATGCCAATGAGGATGCTGAGGATGCTGGGCACCCAAGGGGGGTGGATTGTGAGATCCCACCTTGGTTGGAGAAGGAAATGAAGCATTCTTTACAAGGGTGTAGAAACCTCTCCCTAGCAGACGCGTTTTAAAACCTTAAGGGAAAACCCGGAAGGGAAAGCTCAAAGAGGACAATATCTACTAGTAGTGGACTTGGACTGCTACAGCTACAAAACTCAATCATGTTTTCTAACTCGATCATGTTTTCAAATCTCTACCCGTGGCTGTGTTTTTATTTTCTTGTAGAAATAAACACAAGGTTTGAGCAAGATACACAATTAGTTCATAAGGACATCAACATTCACCGAATTCTTCTTCCAACTATGAGCCTAAGACCCATATTTGAAAAATCTATTGAAAGCAGTAACTGACAAGCTAGTTTAAGAAACTACTATTTCTTGTTTGAACCTTTATGAGCTGTTTTTTTCTTTTCTTCTTCCATGGTGAAGCAAGGCATAGATCTGTCCTTTGTTTTCCATGTCACAGGTGCCTTTAAGTAGTACACACCTTAGTTACTCATTGTGTAGGCATGTCAGAACAAATTTGTTTGAAGCAACAGCCTGGACTTGACTTTGGTTGCATCTCCTAACAGGAAGCGGATGTCGAGAAATTGCAGCAGAGGGACTATTTAAATCTCAAGGTCTCTTCTATCCTCCCGAGTGTTTCCAGGTGTTGTACTTAGATGCTTCACAAAGATCATAAATGGCTCACTGTATTATGTCATATTTTTCAGGATGCCAGTCTTTTGCGTTTCTTAGTTGATATGCGGGGTGCTGATGTCGATGATCGGCAGGTAAAGTGATAGTCAAAGTTTAAGTTGTGAAGTCATATGCGGCTAGTTAGTTAGGCTACAATAGAGTAATACTTTTCAGGTAAACGTCTAAAAAGTGTTGAAGAGGATAGGAAGGACTCAGATTTTTCCTTACCTATCAGATAATAAATGGCCAAAATGTGTTTACCTTGATCGACTTTCACATCTATATATGTAATGTCAACAGCTCAGGGACGATCTGATGACGATGCTTATTGCTGGCCATGAAACAACTGCTGCTGTGCTTACATGGGCTGTTTTTTTGCTTGCACAAGTAAGCATTTGGCTCTGCCTCGTTGCCATCATTCATAAAGTGATATAGATTGAAGTTCTATGATGGCTTCTTTTGTTTAAGTTAAGGCCTCATTGTTGGTTTTGCAGAACCCTTCAAAAATGAAAAAAGCTCAAGAAGAGGTTGATTTGGTTCTTGGCAAGGGAAGGCCAAATTTTGAATTACTCAAAGAATTGAAGTAAGAAAGATCTCTGTTTCCAAATATTCTGCTTAATACTCTCTTTTTTGTTTCCCTCAAAGCTTAAGAGTTAAAATGGAGACACATCAGTTCAGTTGTTCCAATGTACATAGATTTCTGAGCATATTTGCTTGAGTGAAGTTTGGTTGTAATATGCTGTCAGGTATATCAGACTTATCGTCGCCGAGACTCTTCGTTTGTTTCCTCAACCACCATTGCTAATAAGACGAGCTCTCAAACCAGATACATTACCAGGTACCAACTGAAAATAACCTTCATCACATGTAAGTGGTGCAAAGAGAACATTGAAGGGAAATTTTCTGTTTAAATCACCATGTCCTGAATGTGTTATGGGAAGCTAGAGCTAGCTAAGAAGAGCTGTTCAGCTTTGATGGTTGAATATGTTAAGCATACACAACGTTTAGTCGAATGGTCTTCTCTTCTCTCTCGTCTTTTCGACCTTAAAGATAATGCTGTTATTATACCCTTAAGCCATGTGTGCAATGGTAATTGTGCAGGAGGATATAATGGTGACAAAAATGGATATCCAATTCCTGCAGGGACTGACATCTTCATCTCTGTAAGTTGAAGATGGCACTGGAGGTGCTTATTCTGAGTGTTTTTAATTGCATTGGTTCTTTTTTGTGGTAAAGCTGAGAATATTCTGATGTCTCTTTCACTCTCTTCCATTTGCATGTTGTCTACTTGCTTTTCATGAACCTATTCTGTAACTTTTAGGTTTACAATCTCCATAGATCCCCATACTTCTGGGATAACCCTCGAGATTTCGAACCAGAGAGATTTCAGGTAAACAAAGCGAGCGATGGAATTGAAGGATGGGATGGTTTCGATCCTTCTAGAAGCCCGGGAGCTCTATACCCAAATGAGGTAACGTACCAACTATTGGTCCTAATATAAAACAGATGCATCATTATTTTATATCGGTTAATGATGGATTCATTCGTTGACTATCTCAGATTATATCAGACTTTTCCTTCTTGCCATTTGGAGGAGGACCTAGAAAATGTGTGGGAGATCAATTTGCTCTAATGGAGTCAACTATAGCACTGGCCATGTTGCTGCAGAAGTTTGATGTGCAACTAAAAGGAAGTCCAGAATCTGTGGAACTAGTCACTGGGGCTACCATACATACCAAAAGTGGGCTGTGGTGCAAACTGAGAAGAAGATCACAAGTAAATTGATAGCTAACATTCTTGTCACCCCATGAATATGGTACACTTATTTGTGCTACATGATAATGCTTGGGAAATATATATCTTTCTTCTCACTAGGGAGAATTTAGCTCATTGGATGTCGGTTCAGTTCATTAATAATGGTGCATTATCCTCGAGCAGAAATATACATGTTGAGTAAGAATTCTCGACAGAGAGTCAGATCGAACAGATTACTCTTGGAACTAAGCATTATCAACTTGTTGAGATGAAACTGTTCTTTGGACAGCCTAAATAACAAAGCTAAGCTAACTGATAAATATGCAGCTTTTTCTTCTATCACTATTCTAAGTAAAAGACAATCGAGTATCGAAACTACGGCGTCTGGGCCTGTGTCATGTATATACTTTTTGTACAACTCAACTAACCATGAAAAGATGGCTGTTGCTTCATCAAGTATGTCCTGAGGTACTGCCATGAAGCTGGGCAGATCTTAAATGTTGCTCATCCTGCAATAGTTTTGACAGGTCAAGAACAGCCAAACCACCAACAAAAGATTGCAGCACAATTCTAAAATAACGTATTAAACAAACCTGTAAACTATAACTATGACTTGTTGCTGGTCGATAATCCACCTGTATGTAAATTCAACCAGAAAAAGATCTATCAGATATCTGTTGAAGAAAACGTTCCCTCAAGTATATTTTTTGAAATAATCTCAGATACCAGTGCATGAATGCCATTATGCTGCGCCCCAAAAAACCCATCCTGACTGGCTGCAATTGTATTCAATTGTCCCTGAAAAAAGAATATATTGAACTTGATTCATAAACAATTAAACAACCTTCATGATCATTGAGTATCTAACACAACCATAGCAAGACTAACCAGCCCTTGAATACTTTGTTGATTGACATAATACGAAGCATCGTGGGGAGGCTCCATCAAGTTCAACTGTACCTGCAATCACCAGTAGCTTAACAATAGCATCTATGAAGTCATAAGCTAATAAAATATCCTACCAATCCTTGAACATTCTGTTGGGATCCATAATATCCACTCAGGGTCATGCTATCTGAGGTTAAACCATCCTGCAAGTAGAAAATCCAATAAGAATTTGTTTATCTATGATGATAAATGCACATTGCTAACGAAGAACATAGTAGGGAGATTGAACCATTTGCTGCAAGTTGTTCTGGGATTCATCAAGTATCATAGCTGTTTCTGTTTGTACCTGAACAAAGGAATTCCAGAATCAAAAAATGTTTCTGCCTTGTTTGTCTTAGCATATCAAACAGACTGGAAAACCAACCTTTCGTTTTCTGTTCGTACTCCTCTTATTTGCTTTAGCAGCTATGCTTTCTTGGTTCTCCTCTTCCTCACGTACACCATAGCCATTAACGCTCGATTCTGCTGGAGCACTTTTTGAGTTGTTAATATTGACACAATTCTTCAGAGCTTCTACTAATGCACGAATGACAATATTATAACACTCCTCTGATTGTGATCCTTCTTCACTTAACTCAATAGCTTTTTTACATAGATTATTGTAACGTTGTACTCTGTTCTGTCTGAATTCTGTTCCTTCAGTAGTATTTGCTTGCCTGCTCTTTGCATCTTTTGTCCACCTTCTTAGAAGATATTGAGGTGGGATGCTTGAAAAACGATGCATATGTAACACAATCAATGCATATCTACAAAGAAAACCATTATATTCAAACAAACGACAGAAACAAGAAACTTCAGAGTTCAATTCATGCCACTTCACTAAAAAATGCTCATCTTTCTCACAGTCCAGAACTCTGAAGGTAGTAATGCCACCATCTTCACTTTCTTTTCTTGGATGACAGCCAACTACGCCCAAAACTTCGACTTGGAATTTCTTAAATATCGTGTGCGTGTAAATTGTAGACATTTGTTTTTCCCAGGGAGAAGGAGATTTCAAGGCTGGTTGTTTGTGTAATGTATCAAAATCTGCTATTGTTTCCTCTTCATATCTATTTTGCAGAATGTTTCCATATTGTTTCAAGAACTCCTTAAGCGTAATTTTCTTGTGAATGTATTTGTCAAAGAACGCGTTCGTACTATCAGAACGTTGAGCAGTTGACATTCCAGCCAAGAAGATTTCCTCCATATAAGTTGGTACCCATTTTCTACGATCATCATATAATGATTGAATCCATTTGTCATCTTGAAGCTCAAATCTAGTAACCATCTTCCACCATCTCATATCAAATTGCTCATCCGTCCACGACTTCAAGATGCACTTGCTAAATTTTGACAAGAAGTTTTTGTGTCGTTTGATTACATGAGCAAGAGTTTCAGGAATCTTTTCCATTATATGCCAAAGAGCAAAGCAATGGCGGGTATTTGGAAACACTTCTTCAATGGCTAATTTCAAGGCTTTGTCCTGATCGGTAATGATAACTTTGGGAGCTTGACCATCCATTGCTCTAAGCCATGTCTTCAACAACCAGGTAAATGTTGGTTTAGTGCAATCTGCAGCCAATGCACAACCAAGCACCATTGACTGCCCGTGATGGTTCACTCCAATGAAAGGAGCAAAGGGAAGCTTATCATTGGTTTTAATGTATGATATCTAGAATGAAACAACGTCACTGAAACTAACATAATCGTTCCTACTTTTGGCATCGACCCAAAACAAGTTTCTCAGACGTTGCTCTTCATTCAAGTCTATAGCATAGAAAAAGTAAGGATTCTCCTTTTGGATACGCTTAAAATACTCCAGCAATACTTGCGCATCACCCTCATCAAGCGCTAAATACTGGCCTTTGTTGAACTGATAAGTTGTGTCAATCTGCGGGAAACCAACATTTCTGTACACACCACGTTTTTTCGACATCTCAACATACATCCTCCGTGTTCTTTCACTAACAGCATGTAATATGACGATGTTGTTCTTCTCTGCAAGCTTTACATTCCTATGGATGCGGAAATGATATGCAAGAGCAGGTAAAAACTCATGATTATGATCTTTTATGAATTCATGAATAATCCATCTTCCATCTGGCCTTCTCTTCACATGCATACTGGCTTTACAGTCGGTTTTTTTCACGCTTGGCCTTCGACTATTTCCATTCTCAGATTCAGGAGTAACTCCATATCTTGAACATGCAAATTTTGCATCAATAAACTCTTTTGATTTCTTTGAACGTCGACTATTCTTAATCGATGTGGTGAATCCCATTGATTTGGCATACTCTTGATAAAATGTGTATGCAGCTTCGTGGGATTCAAATTCAATTCCACTCCGTGGCTCAAAATCTATGTCCCCTTCAAACAGGATGTCCTTCGGTAAACTAACAATTCCATCATCTCTATCATGCATTTCAGCCACAACGTCGACCATTTTTTCCAGCAGTAAGAAGCAGAGTTTTCACATCTCACCTAGATGTTGCTACATAATCCTTTCCTTTTCATCAAAGCATAATTTACAATCTGTCTCTTTGACAGAATTTCCCTGCAAGTAATTTTCTATATAATCCTGAAATGATAAGAGAGATCACACTCACTTTACTTGACAACATCCCAAGGCATAATCCAGGAACTCTCAAATCCATTATTCAAGCTATTTAATTCACCCTGTTCAATAAATCAAATAAACTTAGTATGTAGATTACCAAATGCCAACATTCACAAGATTAAAGACTTCAAAAACAGGGACATCGAATTACAAACAAATGAGGCATCGAATACTTTAAACATATAGTCCTCCATAAGTTACAAAATCTACACTACGACTGACATTAAAATCTGTGAGAACTGCAATTTGTCTGTTTTTTAGAAATCCTGTAGACAAACCCGACCGAATGTCGCAAGATTCTTGAAAGGAAAGTTCATTAAAACGTCAACTTTTACGCTGACTACAAGCACAGAGATTTGTTAGCAACTCAGAGACAAAAGTCTAGAAGTGATAATCGACAGAAACCCAATTCAAGAAGTACGGAGTACTATAAGGACATAATTTCCCAACTCTGATAGAGAAACCAAACATACAGAAAAACTCTTCTCGGCTTAGCTAAAACTAAGTGGGTGGGGAAGGAGCAGGAACTATTGAATGGCACATTTCCCAAACCCCATTAAGAACGCTAAGCATATATACAATTCTCCATCGATACTCCCTCAGCGACAAAACAGATATAGGAGGGGGAGCCCATAAGAAAACACCATCAAAACATCATCAGGATCGAAGAAAAATGACACAGAAACCCAGCAAATTAAGACTTAAAAGTAAAACAAAAACGAGAGAGAAGAGGCTGGCATGAAGTTGAAAGAAACCTGAAGAAAGAACGGTTTCTTAAGAATCCGGGAAGCGAAGCAATAGGCTGTAGCAGCGAGCGGAGGATTTGAGCGAGTGGGGAAGGGGGTTCCTTCGATTGGGGAAAGTAGGGCTTGAAAGAATTTGGGAGAATTGAGTCAAATTCACTCGCCTTTGGGTTTTGCCACGCCCTGTCGGCGCAACAAGATTGAATCTTTAGCTCAAATAAAGCATTCCACATTTGGGGATGTTTTGTTTTTCCTAAAACTACACGCGCGGATATGTCAGCGCGTGCTGTTTTTGTTAAAATGTTTCACTACACTATATTGGTTTAGTTTTATCCGTTGAGGTAGATTTCCATGATATATCATGTGTTATTTGTGCTCTATTTCAGATCAGCTTTGATTGCTCTTTATTATTTGTTTGAGTTTCATTTTTAACCTTCCCCTCAAAACAATTAGACATGTGAGAAGAAGAATATGATCCCGAGAGAAAACTTGAGGAAAAACAAATAGAAGCTAGAAACAAATACGTGATTGATTGATGAAGATGACTATCATCTTCAAAGGTAAGAAATTTATCGAACTGTGGCATTTCACCAAACCTCTCATATCCTGCTCTGGCCACCATTTAGATAACAAGGGCTTTGATAGCATCCGACCATATAAACCTTTGGCTTTTTGGACCTGAATCCACAGATTTTTCAATCAGAAACCAACTATTCCAGCTCCACCTACTCTAGTTACACCTTAAACAAGAAACTACCAGTTCATAACAACTCGTTCTAAAAATTACATCGTCTTATACTAAGAATCAAACATACAGATAACTTTGGGCTGACTTGGTGTTACGCTATCATCTTTGAATAAGAACCATGTAAAATAAATGATAATGATGAGAACTACATACTTGTTATTATGATACAATCGCCTAAGGAGGACCAACATTTGGTATATCTCCAGCCACTAACTTTTTTGACAGACACTAGAAGAATGTGTTGTTTCCTGCACCTGGGAAATGATAAGTTCATTTTATGGCTAAATACAAATATCCACTAGTGAAGCACCTTCACTAAGATTAGTGGTTAATCATGTTTGTCTTGATGCATCATCATGCAACTGAGTTGTTCGTACATTGGGATCATCCTGCCACAAGGGTAATTATTGAATGTCGATGACATATAAATTGCATAATGTAGTGGAAGATATCCGTCGTGTTCGGTAAACTAACCCGAATGCCATAGGTGAAACCAGTCGGTGTTCGGAAAAAATCCATTTGTCCCTGCAGGAATGAACCAATTTTGTAAAATGTGGTGACTAGAATGCAAATAGGCTGAATAACACATCTCGAATCTCACATACCAGTGCATGGATACTCTGTTGATCAGCATAATAACCATCATGGCTAGGTGCTATTGAGTCTAATTGCCCCTATAGATAAAAGAACCCAGAATTTCCAATGAGTTCATGTATACTTGGACTGAACCCACACATACTTTTTTGTGCCACCATAAAGCTTACCAGCCCTCCGATGGCCTGTTGATTTCCATAATAATTATCACGGGTTGGTGCCATTAAGTTAAGTTGTACCTGAGAAGACATGAGTGCATGGAACTGAAAACTTTGCCAGTTCACTAATTAAGATGCTAAAGAGAGAGACACAAGAAAATCATACCATTCCTTGCACACTTGGCTGTGTGCCAAAATAGCCATCAAGGGTTACTGCTCTTGAGCTTAATTTGTCCTGAGAAAGAGAGAAGGCAAAGAATCATATACATATTGACAATACTTTGTAGCTTCCCTCTAGATAGAACAACTTTTTAAAGAACATTTAATCACTTATAATGCCCCAATAAATTTGAAAAGTTCAAAACCAGAACCTAGCGGTAGAACCTATAATAATTAACTTTGAAAGATTGCTGGAATTTGGAGTTCAGAAAGAATTTCCTAAAAACAGAAGTGGAAGATTGGATCAAGTTCATTGAGAAAATTGAGCATGTGGCATCTTAAATTATTTAGCACGGTTTGTAAGATTGAAGTTGTGAGATCCCACATCGGTTTGGGAGGAGAACGAAGCATTCTTTATAAGGGTGTGATACCTCTCCCTAGCAGACACGTTTTAAAAACCTTGAGGGGAAGCCCGAAAGGGAAAGCTCAAAGAGGACAATATCTGCTAGCAGTGGGCTTGGGCTGTTACAAATGATATCAGAGCCTCCCCTCAAGGGAAAGCTCAAAGAGGACAATATCTGCTAGCAGTGGGCTTGGGCTGTTACAAATGATATCAGAGCCAGACACCAGGCGATGTGTTAGCGAGAAGGCTGAACACCAAATGGGGGTGGATTGGGGGGGGGTCCCACCGATTGGAGAAGAGTACGAGTGTCAGCGAGGACGCTGGGCCCAAAAGGGGAGTAGATTGTGAGATCCCACATCGGTTGGGGAGGAGAACGAAGCATTTTTATAAGGGTTTGGAAACCTCTCCCTAACAGACTCGTTTTAAAAACCTTGAAGGGAAGATCGAAAGAGAAAGCCTAAAGAGTACAATGTCTGCTAGCAATAGGTTTGAGTTATTACATAAGTTTTCGGGACCTTTCCAGAAGGTTAAGATTGGATCAAATTCAATCAGAAAAATGATTGGGTGGTCATCTTGAATTCTTTAGCCGGATCTAAAATTTAAGGTTTTGGAGATTTTTCTTCCTTCAGAATCAGACTTTGCACAGATGAGTCCTTGAAGCCTAAATACGGCTGACGTCTTACCTCCCAGTCGAATTACGTTTCTATGGACTGATACTTTTCTTCAGTTCTAATCTCTTAAAAAATGTAGTATTTTCATTATCAATATCTCCGGGGTTCTCCAAAATATTTTGAATCAACATTCTAACAGGTCAAGTCCACCGTTTGCAAATATTGTCCTCTTTGGACTTTTCCTTTTGAGTTTTCCCTCAAGGTTTTTAAAACGTGTCTGATAGGGAAAGGTTTCCACACCCTTATAAAGAATATTCTCCTCCCCAACCAATGTGGGATCTCACACCCTTATATCTGCTAGGGGTGAGCTTGAGACGTTACAAACATTGTTTTAATAACAAATTCCAACAGTCAAGCTCTCGGGGTTAATTATAGCCCTAATTAAAAAAAATTATGTTACTTCATAATATATCCACGAACAGGATCAATACAAGCAAGAGTTGAAAATTAACGTGGATAATTTTATTATTATAATAATAATGAAGGTGACAGACAAACCATCTGCTGCAAGCTATCTTGTGCTCCAACAGTCATGACATCAGACTCGAAATTCACCTGAAATTCAAAAGTGTCATTTTCAACACGCACTTAAAACATAAAACACCAAAGTGCAACAACTAACCTTCCGTTTCTTAGTTGGATTTTTTTTCTTGTTTGTCTTGCCTATGTTTCTAATCTGATTGTCGTCTTCAATGCAGAGTAGACCATGAGCTGCTGATGTACCAGCTTCTAAAACAGTTCTATTAGAACTATTGATACCAATACAATGTCCAAGCGTTTCATCGAGTGCATGCACTGCAATACTGTAACTCTCTCGGTACAAAGATCCCTCTTCAATCAATCTCAATGCTCGTTGGCATAGATCATTGTACCGATGAACCCGAGATTGTCCTGGCTCAGGTTCTTCTCCCATTAATTGGTGGCTCTTAGCATCTTTTGTCCACCGTTTTAAAATATATTGAGGTGGAATAGTAGAAAGTTCACAAATTTGAAGAACAATCATAGCATGTCTACAAAGGTAACCTTTAGATTCATATAACCGGCATAGACAAGAAACTTCCGACTTCAGTTCATTCCATACAACAATGAAGTCAAGTTTCTTATCAAGATCTTGAACATGATAGGTAATGTTTTCATCATCTTGCTTTTCCCTCCTAGGATGGCAAGCAACAGCACCTAAGACCTCAACTTGAAATTTTTTAAATACTGCATGTGTGTACAGCCCCGAAACATTCTTCTCAAATGGTGAAGGAGATTTTAAGGTGGGTTGTTTGTTCCAAGTATCAAAATCAGCTTTTGCTTCCTCTTCATACCTATCCTGTAAAACTGCTTCATACTGTTTCACAAACTCTTGTACAGTGGTCTTCTTGTGCAAATACTTATCTAGGAAAGAGTTTACACTTTCAGATCGTTGTGCTGTGGACATTCCAGCCAAAAAGACATCTGTCATGTATGTAGGCGCCCAGTGTCTTAGATCTTCACATAAGGACTGAACCAACTCATTTTCCTTGAGTTCAAATCTGTTAACCAGTTTCCACCACCTTTTCTCAAACTCTTCCTTTGTCCATGACCTATAGATGCATTTTTCAAATTTTGCCATAAAATTATCATGTTGTTTCATTACATTACCAAGGTTTTCAGAAAGTTTTCCTAATATATGCCACAAAGTGAAGTGATGATACACATTTGGAAGCACCTCTGGAATAAGTGACTTCAGTACCTTATCATGATCAGTGATAACGACTTTTGGAGCCTGTCCACCAATTGCTTTCAACCATGTACGTAATAACCATGCATATGTTGCTGGACTTGTATCTGATAGCAAAGCACATCCTAGCAACATAAATTGATAATGTTGATTCACCCCAACAAAGAAAGCAAGGGGCATCTTATATTTATTTCTAATGTAGGTAGTATCAAGAGAAACCACATCATTAAAATAAATATAGTCATGCCTACTTTTTGCATCGATCCAAAATAAATTCCTTAGCCGGTGATCTTCGCCAATATCTACAGCATAAAAGAAGTTAGAGTTCAAATTCTGCATCTGAGTAAAGAAGTCAAGTAAAACCCTTGCATCGCCAGCTTCAAAAGCCAAACTGCAGACCTTATCAAAGGGATTCTTGGAGTCATTCTTCAGCCCTACCACATTTTTGTATTCAGCAAACTGCCTAGCCATCGCAGCATACATCTTTCTTGTTTGTTCACTGACAGCTTGAGCTGGTAAAAGCTCGTGGTTATGCAACTTAAAAAAACTATGAATAACCCATTTACCATCCGCCCTCCTCTTCACATGCATGCTAGCTTTGCAGTCTGTCTTCGCACATGCTCTTCGACCAGTTGAATTTTCACTTTCTTGTTTAGTTTGCCTTATACGTGGACGATTGAAGGACTTATCATACTCTCTCTTCATACCATAACGGGAACAAGCAAATTTTGCATCAATAAATTCCCTTGATGTCTTTGAACGGCGGCTATTTTGTATTGCTGTGTTGAATCCCATAGAGCGAGCATATTCCTGATAAAAGGAATATGCTTCACTGTGTGATTCAAATTCCATACCAGGAAGTGGTTCCAAATTTGTGTCCTCTTTAAACATTACCATGTCTAGCAGAGGGGGTTTTGAATCTCCACCATCTTCAATGTGCATCCCCTCTGTAGTATCAACCATACTTCCACTCCCAATAACTCCATTATGAAGTTTTTCTTTCACATCCAACATATTGTTAATTGCATTTGATTCTTCATCTTTGTCATGCTCACCAGAAGGCAACCTAAGATCTATATCCATGATGAGAAGAGCCAATGGCTAATGAGTTTTGATACCTGAAATGGACATTAAATAGTGAACATTTTAAAGACTATTATTTGACTTCTACGCGCACACACATAAATAAGGTCTTCTAAATTGACAACAAATTCCCAGTCTCTTAAGTTATAGGATCTATACCTACTTGTGCCCATAATGAATGGAGCAGATTACTGCTGCTTGCTTGCATATAGTGAACTCTACAACATTATTTCACAAAATCAAAGGCTGTTTGCTAGTGAAGGAACTAAAATTTAATATCATGAGATAGCAACGGTATAGTTCCATTCTCACATTTTTATCTTAACAGTAACATTTTCGACCTTCAGTCATCGAGATTTCGAACTTACACAATGAACCAAAAGACCTGCAGAAAATTTCTTCTTTTAATCTGTGAATTGAAACCCGATAAGACAAACAACATAATTCTTTCAATGACACTGCCCCATGCAAGGAATTTCACATGAAGTTTTATTCTCCTCTTGCAAAGACAACGATGAAAAGAGAAAAAAATATATGCACACTTAATCATCTACAAATATTATAGGGTGAAAGACAATCATGGGCCCCCTCCCTGCAACAAAAAGACATAGAAACAAACAAACAAACAAAAACCCAACAAAGTATCTACAAAAATGCTTAATATATAAAGCTCGCTAATAAACACAAACAGACAAATTACTAGATATCAATTGTATCATCAATTCCAATTTCTACAGGTACGTTAGATCCATATTTTCTGAAGTGATATCCTAAGGACCCAGGTCCAACGAAGCTTTCCCTGTTACCAAAAGCATTTCACTTAGAGTATTCTACTGAATAACGAAAAGGACAAGTACCTAAAGTAGTTCAATTTTCAAGTTCACATCATACTAGACACTAGAATGATATCACTGGTTCCTTCATGCCGGGAACACTTGGCAAACTGTCGGTACCTCAGTTGATCTACGTACACATAGCAGACAAAAACTAAAAGATTTTTTTAAAAAAACGTAAAAGGTCACTGCAGAAGTTGGGCTGGTCTGTATCTTAAAGATTAACATCAAAAGTGTCCAAATACAAGTTAGTTAGTTATGGATCGTCAAAGTCAATATGATTTTGAGCATCTTAAACCACTGAATTAGAAAGTTGAAGGATCATTCATTGCAAGACAGGCACTACCCATGTCACAGGTAGTAAATCACGATACTATGCAAAGGTTATAACCATACGTAGGCATATATATAGGTTACCCAAATGAAATTCGCCACAGTAACTTCGTAGCATTCCTCTGGGTGTTGAAGTCCATTACTCAGATGAAATTCGCCGCAGGAGCCCGCAACGCTAGGTGGTGGAAGAACTGATTCCCACTCAAATTTTCCAATTTTCCCGCTTAATTTGGCCACCTCTGATAAAATTCGCCACAGAAGATCGAAATAAGGCAGGAAGCAAGCGGCAACTGGATACACACACACATCCATCATCCAGCAGCTAAAAAATTCCACAATGTGACAATGTAATCACACTTCAATCCAAAGTCGACGATCCTTCAATTTCCTAATGTTCCTACTTCCAAAAAAAAAAAAAAAAAAAAAAAAAC